ATTACTCGATTTATAATAAATAATATTTTTATAGATGACTTTGCTGTTACTTTAAGATATCCTGAAAATTTATTGGAGGGTACCCGGAATTCTAATGTATATCGAATGATGTGATAATCTTCTTGTAGAATTATCTCAAAACCGTGACTGAATTCCAAAATTTTCGAGAGCTGCCATGGTAAAGCAAGCACACGTAGCAATCTCCCGGTCTCAGGCATGTTATGACTCGATGAATATATGGTGTTGTTATTGTTGTTGTTGTTGTTGTTTTTAACTTTAAATTTCAAATTAAATAGTCACTTATTTTTAAACAAGATAGTAAACATTTGTTGTTTTCTGTATTTTTGTTAAGAATGTGATAAGTATACACTTCTAACTTTAAGATGACTTTTTAATATTATCGATTATCCATCGTATACCTGATTGCAGTTTTAATTGAATCTAAAAAATGAATTATGCACATATTATTTTCGGCAGAAAACAACAAATACAAACAAAACAACACACAAAAAACATGCTATTCAACATTTCAGCAAGTGACACATTTTAATGGGACAGAAATGTTGTTGTAACCATTTAAAAAGTAGGATTTGTAAATTTGTAAGTTGGATATTTTTAACCTAGTTTGCTCAACACTCAATTAACACATTTTTATATATAAACCTGAGGTAAAAAAAATTGACAGAAAACAACTTTCATAGATTGAGATAGAGCCAAGATGTCGTAGATATTTGGGTTACAAAAGGAGTTTTTGATCCTGATAATGTTAAGTAGGATATACATACATGTATTACAAGCTTATATTCTTAAAATTTTGTACCGTCTTAATTCAGTTTTTTTTTTAAATACGTGCAATTATGTAATTATTGTGTCTTTAGTTAGTTTCTGGAGAAAAGGCTTAACAAAGGTGGTATCTTTTATTTAATAGATAATTTTTATAATGTGTCACATGTCGCATTGAAAAGAGATTTTGTGATGATTTTGCGTACACTTAATCCAGCTTTTGCATGTTGGAACAACAATACATTGTAGTTATACACGGCCTCATTGCTTATTTTGTATAGTCTTATTTTATTGACCTGTCAACAGCACTTATTGAAATATAAGATTACACTTCGATTTCGTTGGTAATGTTTACGAGATAAATATGGAGTATATAGAGGACATTTGTTTGTTTGTGTGTAAGATGAAATTTTATTTCATCGAGTGGGCTTTAAAAACAGTATTCCCACGAGTGGCGTGGCCACGAGTGTGAATACTGTTTTTAAAGTTCACGAGATGAAATAAAATTACATCTGACACAACAAACAAACAAATTTTCTTTTTATTTTATGTTCAAAAATAAGTTAAAACGAAAATTCCTTGATATTAACTTTAATATTAAAATCTGTTTTCCCCACTAGTAGCCTCTATTATGTACGTGTATTAGTCGAATTTCTCATAAAATACAAGAATTCTTGGGCTGAAAAATAAGTTCGACAATCAACGTTAAATGGCGATGAAATTATTCATTTTATTAAAAAAAATATGAATGATCGCTTATTTTAATAATAAAAACAACAATTTTAGTGGGAGAAAAAGTCCAACCATCCATCTATATTTCTGCTACTTACTGCGAATTTATATTAGAGCTGGCTCTGTTAAATGTAAGCGGCCGCCATTTTTAAAAGTTGTGTATTTCACGGGAGGAAAATAATTGTGTTTGATTAAGAGGGATATCATTTGGATTTGTTAGTCATACACCATTTAAAAGAAAGAAAACTTATTTTAGGATTGTAACAGACAATTAATAAGTGTTGACAGATGTGTAAACATTTAAAAAGTGGCTAGGAAATTGGAAACTTGGAATTGTTGAAAGGCTGCCTTACGAACGCTGGGTTGTTTACTTATTCTTCGGACTGATGGCTGTCATTGCTTTTCAAGTTTTCATAAAGCATACGGCAGTTATTGCTCGTAGGAAACTTAAATATGCCCAAATTTCATAAAGAGCAGTTTTGCACGTGGAAGGAATGTATTTTTCAGACTATTAAAATGAAACAAAAAAAAAAATTAAGGGACGATAATTGCTGATTGGTAATTTGGATGAATAGAAGTAAGTTTTCTTCTTTTTATTACTTTTGACATTTGAGTTATTAATCAATTTCAGCTTTGATTTTCTCTAAACAGACTGACATTGTCAGAATGTCAGCAAAAATAAAATTAAGGTACCACATGGGGAAAATCTTAAGAAAGTAGTTTCGTCATTGAAAAGTGTGAAATTATATTTTTATAATTTCCACTGTGAAATTATCAAATATAATTTTCACGGATAAATCAGTATTCCACTGAAAAGCATAAAATAAAAAAAAAACTATAAAACTAATGTTAGTGAAAGTCATATCTGCTAAAAATGTACACGTCATCGTTATGATTGACTGATGTGTGAGAGGTCTATGGTTCGATTCCTACCGTTGCCTTTTTAAGAACTTCGGTGTTTTTTGTTGTTTTTTTTTTGTTGTTTTTTTTTTTGTTTTTTGTTGTTGTTTTGTTTTTTTTTTTGTTGTTTTTTTTTGGGGGGGGGGTTGTTTTTTTTTTTTATGGGGGGGGGGCGCAGTATATACTATAAACACTTTTTTGTCTCGGTTTGTGTTGTGTTTATGTTATTGAAATGAAATTTTTTGACTTTTCAAAATTTTTTGAATATTCATTTTAAACCATAAATACCATAATAAGTGCAAAATATATGAAAACAAAATGAACAACTTAAAAAAATCATAGCTACAAATAATGTTGAAAATTACGGAACACCTGAAGTGACATTTTCCACATTTTCTCTCTGAATTGAATTCGTTTTTACAGATAAATAATAAATATTATTTCGTTTTAACGAAATATAAAATCTTAATTACGAAATATTGATTCGTTATTACGAAATATTATTTCGTATTTACGAAATATTAATTTGTTATTACGAAATATTTATTCTTTGGTAATACTTATAAACTAAGTTTATTGTTAGATATAAGTCAAGTAAACAAAACATTAAAAGTGATTTTTTTCAATCTTAGTCTTATACCTTAACGCGCTAGTAAAACAGTACTGTATATACTGTTTATTGAGCCATTAGGCTTATAATCGCTATATTTGGTGTCCAATCTCATTTAAATCTGATCATATTGAATAATCATTTGATTTAGACAAGAATAATTAATTGCATCATATTGTATCATAGTTTTAATGACCTTTTTTAGTATTTTTAAGCGGCCATTTTGAATTGACCTTTTGAAGGTCAATGTCAATTTTATTTTCTTGGTATCCACCCTCATCGTCTTCAGCTTACCCATATTAGGTTAAAACACTCAAGATATTACTTGTATGATTAAGACGACCGTAGGGAGTCTTATCGAACTCTTACCCATATAACTGCAAATCGACTCTTACAACTCAATATCAGATAAAAATATAGAAAGTGTCACCTCTTTAATTAAGCATAACATTATTTTTCCCCAGCAGTCACTTACAAACAAGGATGGGGTCCAATCACTTAACCTGGCATGTAAAACAATGAGTTTTCAACAATACCTAGGATTGTTTATGCAATTCATTCCTGTCATATGAAACAAAATAATGTTTTGCTTACTTTTTCTAGAAAATATAAACAGTCAACAATTAATAATAGTTAAAAGGATATCAAAAAGTTACTGTGTACTCATTTGTCTCTGCGAGCTGAGCTCCACGTGTATTATCTATGTAATAAATTTGAATGTATCCTCACATTGCTACAGTGTTATCAGCCTTTTTAGAAACACCTGATCTGGCTAATTAAAATATGCCAATCACAATTTTCACTATCGGCACTGGTTTTTTCATGAAAAAGCGGCTACACTAATTACTGCCGAGTAAGAGCCGAGTTGCAGTTATGTACTATAACTGCAAATCGGCTCTTACTCGGCAGTAATTAGTGTAGCCGCTATTTCATGAAGAAACCAGTGCTGATATTGAAAATTGTGATTGGCATATTTTAATTAGCCAGGTCAGGTGTTTCTAAAAAGGCTGATAACACTGTAGCAATGTGAGGATACATTCAAATTTATTACATAGATAATGCACGTGGAGCTCAGCTCGCAAAGACAAATGTGAACACAGTAACTTTTTGCTATCCTTTAAACTCTATGAAAAATGTCAATTATTAATTGCTGACTGTTTTATGTTTTCTAGAAAAAGTAAGCAAAACATTATTTTGTTTCATTAACAGGAATGAATTGCATTAACAATCCTAGGTATTGTTGAAAACTCATTGTTTTACATGCCAGATTAAGTAATATGACCCCATCCTTGTTTGTACGTGACTGTCGGAGAAAAATAATGTTATGCTTAATAAAAGAGGTGACACTTTCTATATTTTTATCTGATATCAAGTTGTAAGAGCCGATTTGCAGTTATATGGGTAAGAGTTCGATAAGACTCCCTACGGTCGTCTTAATACGAACTCTTACCCATACATAAAATGCCTCTAGCATTCATATTTTCTTAAAATCAGTCCTGTCTATAATGTTTGCCCTTTGTAAAGATGGAAAAATTTATTCATTTCAGAGGCATAGTGTGCCTTTAAAAAGTATTTAGGATTTATATAGCAGGGTCAATCGGACACACCTCGGGCGAACTTGACGGAGATTGCCGAGTTGTTACGATTGATAGCAGGGTATCGGAAATTAGACGTCCTGTAGTTAACCTTGAAATACGCTACATAGGTCATTTTACAAGGCCGTAATAAAATGCTAAACGTATAGACTAAATAATGACGCTATTAGTAGTTTTGACTTTTTTTCGTTTCTTGCGATCTGTTTTGCACGTATTGCTCGAGAAAAACGTATATATACATGTATTATTTGTTTGTAAACAAATCACCTTTTTTTCACGTACATATTGTATATATACAGAAGGTGAAGGTCGTTTTTGTTTACATCAACTACATCCCGTAACAAAACATAGTTTGAGTTTAAAACTCGCTATTCATTATTCAATATTCGCGAAACTATCGTATATTCAATAACAGATATTGCACAGGCTGTTGGATAGGAGAGTAGGCTATAACTGCGTCCTAGATACTTGAAGATAGCATTAAATCATTTGGACTTATATTACAAATATAGCACTACGATTTGAGAAATTGGTAGGAAGTTATAAAAGAACATTTTGTGTTACATACATGACTTATATCCAAACAAAAATTGGGTTGAATTAGGTAGAAATCTCAAGGATTTACATTTGAAAAACTCTGTTTATTAACGCATCAAGTTATAGTTGATGCGTTTTCAGTGGCGATGTTAAATATTGTTGTTAATTTATTTCAGAAATGGATAAAAAGGAATTAAGAGAGTACCTCGGACAAAATCAGCACTATCACCCGGAGGCAAACCCCCACCCTACCAATCAACACTGGTGGAATAACCTTCATTTGAAACAGGTAAAGGTCTTGTAAACTTCAATAATATTTAATTAATACTTTTGGTAGTTTAAATAAACCTTGATTGGATCTGACCTTCAAATTTCATGTTCGTTATTAATGACTCATGTTTATTTATAAGCTCGTCTGTTATGGAAGAAACGTCAAGGATGCATAGGACCAGCAACTGTCCGACGAGTATAGTCCCTTCGTTGTCCGGGATCTCTTTCGTCGGGCGATCATAAGGATGTCATTCTTGCATAGATCTCACAATTTTATGTTTGATATTTTTAAATTTCTGGTAAACAGGATTAGCTGATCCACCGATGTCTGTTTTTTTCTTTGTAGACTGCACCAGAGAGTTCAAGCACCAGTGTTAAACCCGCTCAATGTACGTCTGGCATTCCGCCGCCGCCGCAGCAGCAGCCGCAACAACAACAACAACAACAAACTGGGCAGACGACAGAACCTCAGAATATGAAAAGGATTGATTCTAAAAGTGTTTATATGGGATTAGATTTTTCTGATTGATGTTTTTGTAAATATAAAAAAAACTATATTTTTTTATAATTTAGGATCAGGAAATCGGAAACACAGAAAACGGACACTGGGCTGGTTTGATATATGTTGCAGTAATAAATTACTACTAACTTGGCTTCAATATTGAATTATGTTTTCAAAGTTTCAAAGTTTATTTCAATCAAAACCATTAGGCTTAAAAGCCCATGAGGCATACATATACAAAACTTTATGACGAACAGTTTATATATTTAACAATAATTTCATTTAACAATATATCTTGCAAACAAAGTTTACTTTGGAGAAGGTTTTTTCAACCTTAATCACCCTTACCAATTGTGACATATTTCGAACTAAATTTCATGTTACCTCTTTCCAGTTTTAAAGTCAACCTTTTAACGAAACGAAACATAAAGGCGACTGACTGGAGTGAACATAATACTAAGATAAACTACATGACCAATGTACTTTTCTGTGTTATAAGACCATTGTGCTACATATGAAAGACAACTTAACACAATACACATTAATATCCATTATATAGATACAGCACCATAAGTGATAATGCATTCGATAAATTAAAACTTTACATGATTAACAATCTAGATAAATATTTGTATAACATATACCTTATTTCAATTACCATATAATATTTCGTTACGTTTTTTAAAAGCAGTATGTATGAAAGTTCCAAGCATTCTTACTATCATCTGGTTTTCGTTATTCATCAATTCTATAAATTTGTACATATTTGGCCGTCGCCAATATTTTGATAATATATATTTATGTCTTAGTTCATCGTACAACTTGCATTCAATAATAAAATGATACTCGTCTTCTAAGACGTTACAAAAGTTACATAATCTTTCATTTACTGGTATAGTCGCCGGTCTTGACCAACGACCTGCTTCTATTTGCAGTCTATGTGACGAAACTCTTAATCTAACAAAAGATTGACAAAATTTATTATTTGCAAAGTGTTCTTCGTAGGGTTAAAACCTTAAATTCGAAAAAGTTCGATAAAACAATGCTTTACAAGAATTATCTTATTTATTATGCCAATTCTGCTTGGATTAATCGTGTAACCTTTGTTTAAGTAAAGAAAAAATGAATTACTATTACCAATATTTCGTTGCAGCCATACATCATTAAAACCAAGTGCAGAAGGTAAGTTTTTTTTACTAAAGAGCACCAATTTACTTTACTCGGTGCATTTTCTAAATCATTTTTGAGCATATTATATACCAAAGACACATATTTATTTTCTTCTGTATGTACAACTTTGACCCAATATTTTATTATGTTATAATAGTGTATTGTCTTAAAACTAAATCTACCTAGTTCACCGTAAATAAAATCATTTTGTGTGGTCTTTTTCACTCCTAGTACTTTCTTGCAAAACTGTAAATGTACCCTTTCTATTGTCAAAATTTTTAGCAAAACCACACACTTCACTTCCATAATTTAGAATAGGAGCTACTAATTTATCAAATAAATCAAATTTATGCTTAGGAGTTATATATGTGAATTTATACAAATATTTGTTTAACTTAAAAATAGCTTTTTGAGCTTGTCCAGCTAGTGTACTTTGTGCTGTAGATAAAGATCCACCACTTGTAAAAACAATACCTAAATAAGAAAACTTACTAACTATTTCAATTTCTTCATCGTCGCAATAAAATTTAAGATTTCTAGGAATGGTTCCACCTCGTCTAAATATCATTACTTTTGTTTTTGTTGTGTTTACTTTCATTTTCCAAGTTTTACAATAATCTGCTAATAAATTTATATTCTGTTGCAATTCTTCTGCAGAGTTACCAAAAATTACAATGTCATCTGCATATAGTAATATATATATTTTTAAACATGCAAACATCTATTCCCTGTGATCCACTGTGGATGTAAATATCTTCTAAGTCATTGATACAAAGTGAAAAGAGGAAGGGAGATAAGCATTCCCCTTGTCTAACGCCAAGCATGCATGGGAAATCACTACTTAATTTATTCATTCATATATTTACTCTTGACTTAACTGATTGATACATAGACTTCATGATATTTAAAATATTTCCTCTAAGACCTAATTTTATTAATTTGTACCACAAATTCTCTCTAACCACATAATCAAAAGCTTTAGAAAAATCGACAAATAAAGCAAACAATTGTTTTCCTTGATTTAAAACATGATTAATTAGACTATTTAACACAAAAACATTATCTACTGTACTCATTTTTGACCGGAACCCAGCCTGAGCTTCAACATATACATTATAATTTTCAGCCCAATTCTTTAATCTATTGTTAAGTACATGCGTAAAAAGTTTACCCAGACAGCTCAATAGTGTAATGCCACGGTAATTATCTACAATATTAGCATTACCTTTTTTATATAAAGGGATAATATAGCCCTCTGACCAAGTCTCAGGAAAATATCCGATATCAAATATTCTATTAAAAAGCTTATGTAATACAGGCACTAATACAGTTTTTACCGTTCGTAAAAAATTCATTTAACAAATAATCTGGACCACTAGACTTATTATTCTTTAACTGTTTTATAGCATGATTTATTTCATCATATGAAAAATTGTTGTTTAATTCCTCAAACATAACATTAAACTCATTATTCTCATAACGTTCTATAAAATGTATGACATCCTCATCTGGAGCAAAAAATCTACTGTCAGGATTATTTATTGCCTTAAATACATTTCAAAGGATGACAAAGATAAATTTTGTAGTTTTAACACATGCAGTTTCTTTCAGCATGTTCCAATATAGGCGTGCATTTTCAAACCTAGCATTAACAAGTTTAATGTTTTTTCTTTATCATAATTGAAACGACATTTTCTAACAGTACTCTTATATATTGACCGTGCTTGTACCATATTTATTCTATTTAAATCACACGGGTCATTTCTATATCTATTCAATAAGTTTAAAAATACATTTTTCTTTTCAACACATTCATTATCATACCACGGGCTATTATTTACATAACTAGGAATGCTTTCACAACCTTTCATAACAGTTTTTTTAAATAATTGGCGATGCAACTTTATCAATAATATTTTGAAAATTTTGTAAACAATCATCAATATCTTGTTTTGTAGAACATAATGTGATATCATTTGACAACGAATCAAAACAACTTTACATATCAACACTAGACAATTCTTCAACAAACTGTGACTTATAATCATTATTCCAAACATAGCGAAAATTTACACATTCTTCATCTTTCTCAGAAGTGTCACTGTTATGAACAACTATTCTCGATCTATCTAAACTAAACGTACAGCTTACAAGACAGTGATCTGATAATATATTTGGTATATCTATCTCAAATTCATTTATATTTACAGAACATTTCGGGTTTACACAAAACATAGTCTATAAGGCTACAACCACGATTGTTAACAAACGTATATTTTCCTATATGTAAATCATTACCCCTTCTGCCGTTTACTATACGTAGACCTGACTGTTTGCAAAAATCTAGTAATTGAATGCCATTATTATTAACATGCCAGCATCTTGAAAAAACGTTCAATTTCATTATCACATATATAATCTTCAGGGAGCATATGTAACATATTTAAATGTACGTCATTATCGTTTGTAACAAAGTCCCGGTAATAATGACGTGCGTGCATTGTAATCGCCAAATAATGCATAATAACAATTGTTATTTGAGTTATTTTCTACATCAATAAGTGAATCTGTTATTCTGTCAAATATATTATTTTCAACCATAGCTTGCCTACTACTGTCATCCGGTAGAACATAACATAAGCACAAGTAAAAGTCTTTTTCAATTGATAATTTTTCCCCTGATATCTTAACCCATATTACATCATCCTGACTTGTGAAAAATAAAGTGTCATCCGAAATCAATTCATTTTTCATATAAATAACAATCCCTCCCGAATTACGTTTACTAGAACTTTTAATTAATTTTCTGTGTAGAATAAAATAACCAAACCCGTCAACATTTAAATCTGAAAATTCATCACTCCAGGTCTCAGTAAACATTACAATATCATTATTACAAAAGACACGTTTCAAATAGTCACTTTTTAGTTTGTTAGTTCTTTTTGTCACTAATCCTTGTATATTCAATGAAGCACATCGCAAATAAACCTTCTCCACGTTGTCCTAAGTTATCAACATTGGAGTTCAATGGTGTCAACCTCGTGCTGAAGTCTATTTTTAGTAACTGGGGATTTCCGTTCTCTGCTCTCAGATATACTTCGACAATAAGGCTTTGAAGATTGTGTCCGCCTAACACTACGGTTACGCGCACGTGAAAACATGTGCCACTCCTTTGTCCGCTCCTGTGTTATTAGTAGGATTTTGACATAGTTGACTCAGTGATTTGTGCATTTGTGCCAGCGGATGAAGTTATACAGGTATTAAATACTTGAATTTTCACAATCACTATGTTTATTAGGTAACTGCTGCACATTTCCATTGCTAGTAATACTGTGTTTTGTTAAATTTCCACTATTTTCCACAGACTCATCAAATATTTGATTTTCATGCTGGGACATTGTCAAGTTGGAAAATATTTTGTGAGGGCATATTCACTGTTGTGGGAGGGGGCAATATTCATTGTTGCATAGTTTTGAGGTGGCATATTCACTGTTAAGGGAGGGGGCGTGTTCATTGTTGGAAGAGTGTTCACATTCACTGTTGCTGTAGGACACATGTTCCCTGATGCTGGGAGGAGGCATATTCACTGTTGAGGGAGGGGGCATGTTCATTATTGAGGGAGGGGCATGTTCATTGTAGCATTATTTGGGGGTTGCATGGTGCCTAATGATGTATCATGATGTAACACAGAATTTTGAGAAATGCGTCCAGATGAATTCATATCGTATGAAGTAGAAGGTGGCATTTGAGCATTTAGACAGTTTGAATATTGCATAGGCTCACATTGTGTCATATTAACATTTTGACTTGAGTTCATAGCCTGCATGTGCGGGGGAAAAGGGACAAACACAGGGGGAGGGCTAAAACGAACATTTGTATGAGTGTTATTATTTTGCATAACAGTGTTCATTGAGCTGTGTAGTCTGGCATTTGTACCGCATTCTGTTCTTGCACGTTCGGCGGGTTCGGATAAGTCGTACATTGTCGTCTGCCAGGTTGTTGCTCGATGTTGTCAATCATTTGGAGCCTATTACCGCTAACACATGCATTCCATTCTGGAAACTCATCGTGCAAAACACGACCATCTACGATAAGTTTAGCAGGGTAGACTATTCTTACTTTTGAGTGCCGATTGAGTGACCTGTACTGCTAAAACTTCGGCCAATCGGGATCTCGCGTCCTGTGATTTCTTTTGGAAATCATAGTCAATAGACACCCCAGGAACAATCTTTCTAACCTGTTCACATCGACTCATTTGTGATCAAACATCCCGTCATCCCTGCTATAATTTGGTCGTTTGTTGCATACCTTGTCTTTTAGGATGTCGTTAATTCAAAGTCAATATTCTGATGATTCTCAGGCAAACCTCTGAATATCAAATTCAGGAATCATCTTACGCATTCAATGACGTCTTGCGCATTACTATCACATTTACCACCTGATCATACTTTTGTGTTTACCTGTCCAATAGCGTTTTGAAAATTCTGTATTCTGTGATTGCATGATTCTTGCTCATTTCGTAGGAATCGTAGTTCATCAAATAAAGAAATCATTTTTTCATCTAAACTACCTGATACAAAATCTGCTCTAGACTTATCTTTTTGTTGCAATGTTTGAACTTGGTCGATTTCCCGCTCTGTAAAATACTCAAATCGGTTCTGTACAGGTACTGAATAATTCGTATTTAAATCCATCTTTGATGCATTTAACACTTATATGAATAATCACTATCGTTCAATACATGTCTACATCCACAATTTTGTGCATTTAACACTTTCTAACACTTTATTTTCCATATTTTTTCAAAATATTTACGTCAGAAAAAATTATACGTTCACTCTGTCCGCCATATTTAATTGAATCCATTATTATAATTATGTATGCATGCCATTGCACCAAAATTCACTTTCTTCATCAGTCTATATTTGTGATTAACTTAAAAGCGTTCTATGCTCATTTTATGCTCTTGTTACGTTATGTAACATTAATATATGTGAAATGCTTTTGCATTTTGTTACGTTGATCCAAATAAACAACCAGTGAAAATATTTAAGTTTTTGATTTGTACCTTTAATATAAGAAAACCAATTTCACATTAAAAGAATTAAACTTTGATAAAATTCTATATAATAATTGTGAATTGTGAACTGAAAACGGAGATGGTGAACGTGGACCGTCGTCTGCTTGCGATATTTCGTCACGGTCAGTGAACTCGAATGATATCTATTTTCTCTTGAGAAGGAAGAATGAAACTGTTTACGATCATCACACTTTATTTCTTTAATTTCATCACAAACTAAATTTAAAATCACTATTTGTATACTGATTCGACATTTTTGAGGATGTTTTTACTATTATTATATTTAAAAAAATGTATGTACAAAACTATCTTGAACGTTTTTGAGAATAAACTGTTATGTCATATGTCATGTGAATTTCTAATTAATTTTATGAACTGTCACTGCTCACTTGAAGCTGCACGCCTCCAGATGAACAAAAATATTTCGATAAAATCAAACCTGAGGAAACTGTACTAAGATTTTAAGAAAGGTATAAAGATTCAAAATTCTAATAAAAAAATACAAGTTATGTGCGATTAGTGACTGAATTTTTCAGTTTTTATAACTATATTTCTACTGGGTTAGTAACACAGTAAGGGCCATTTTTGCATATTTTGACCTCTTTATAGTATTTTACATAGGTTGTAAGTGCCATTGATAATGGGTAAAGGTAACTTTACAATATTATACTGTTAAATATATTTTCAAATTTTCATGAAAATTAGCATGAATCTGGAGGTGTGCTGCTTTAACCATGATTTTATAAATCACTTGAAAATAATTCAAACAAATATAACAAACAAACACACGGAAATTAATGAACATTTCATATATTCATTTCCCTATAGCATGAATAAATAATTGAACATAACGCAAAATAAAAACAAATTGAAAATTAATGATCAAGAACATTTTACATGTTCACTTTAATGATTTGAATAAATGAATTCAACACAATGAATGATACATACTTTCAATGTGATGAACATTTTAATGTCATCACAATGGGTTTTTTACAATGAACCGTAGGCCCACCCTGCATCTTAAAAGGGCCGCCCCCTTTTTATCTGGACAAAACCCTTTTTCATTTTTTAAATTTTAAAGACTAAACTGACCCAATGATAGTGCAAAAATCAGCAGGTAAAATATGTGGGCATGATGTTTGTTTTGCACTGGGTTTGGATTTTTTCCCCATGGGTTTAAAAAAACCCCGTTCCGCCACAGGGGTGTTTAATTTACATAACCAAAAAATGTAAGCTATTTAAAACTGACAAGGAAATGCTTTTAAAACGCTGGACTTGTAAATAAATGAACACAAAACTAAAATGTAAATGTAATAATTCTGTAACGGCTAGGAAAATGTTTATTTAATATATATGCAAATATCGCACGTGGTGTTGTAGATTCATATTATATATGATTATATGTGGACATTCCGTTTTAAATCCCAAAAATTAAACCGTTCCTATTGAACACATACATGAACAAATATACTTAGAATTAAAATCATCGAATCAAAATAAAATTCACATCCCTTACGATGATTTTTGTCCCATAACAATAAACTGACAAACTGTCGTCTGCTCCCCCAAAATGACTCAATGTTTATGTTCCGGTTTATACACAAGGACTGGAATGTGGGCATGATGAACGACGTAATCACTAACGCTGCCAAGGAACGTGCGTCTAAGCGTTCCGAGACCACGACTTCCGGTTATGATCAAATTTGCTCCAACCTCATTGGCTACTTCTATTATTTGTTCTCCAGGTTCTCCAATGGATTGTTTAGCTTCACCGTTAACCTATGGACAGAGAATAATTATTATATAAGCTAGCTGTCTGAGGTGATGTGTTTATGATAAATCTTGGTTTTGTCTAGCAGTTCCAAAAAAAGCTAGGAATCGCCGTTCATCCAAAAAAGCTTAAGCTTAGATATTTGGCAAGAAACATCTTCTAGTTTGTTCAAAAAGAACCTTGGGGTCAAAAATTGGCCCCGCCCCAGGGGCCATTGATTCTTTTTATTCTTATTTCAGATACTAATATGAACTTTGTGATATCAGTTTTAGATTTAGATTTTATATCTGCTTTTGTTTATAGTTTACAACAGTTCTTGTTCTTTGTCGTGGAGAGTTTTATATTCAGGCGAGCAATTTAAGGGCCATCATGATCGTCTTGTTTAAATAACCAACACTTTCCCAAGCCTTAACGAATTGACAAAGACGACTTAGTTACCTCTAAAGTCTTCAAAAGACCCGTGACTTTTTCCATAAGGGCTTCAGTGTTTTTCTTTTCGTCATCGACAATCTTTTGTACTAATGAAGCATCAGCTGCAATCACCGCTGTAACAATCAAACAGACAGATTATTAATGTTGAGTTTTGAAACCACACATTACAATTCATATAGCGCTTGAAGATGACGACATAATGGTAAGATTTCCAATTTCTTGCATATTTTCAGGGCCCAGCGAGCACCTGGGAAGAACTATTGATCTTCCTGAAGCTGAGTGAGTACCTTCCTCAGATGAAAGACTCCAAAGTCTATGGTTAGATTTGAACCCATAGCAAATGACCTTAACCACATGACCACTAGTTTACGTTGAAGTCATAAAAACATAATCATCTTTGCTAGTGCACAGTGTCAAGTACACTTAAACAGCCAAATTTTCCGATTCCACTGACTAGCTATAGCTGCTTATACAAGTTTGGGTTACCTTTAAACATATCAATTGTTCAGCTTGCCTTATAAGAAGCATGGTAAAAAAGAACGAATCACCCTTAAATACTATGCACAATTTTACAGCGCTTATAAATACAAAGGGAAGCAACTCTAAATATAATGTATTACAAAAACTAGACAATGTATTCCGCCTTATATAAACAAGTCGAGTTCTAAAACTTCAGATTGTACTGACCAGTGTCAAATGTGACAAAAATACATATACACACTATTATAACGTTAATCAGGTTGTAATATTTGATTGAGGTATAATATATGGACGGGCCTACAAGACGAAGTAAATGCTTAGTGAACGACATACAGTAAAAGAAAAAAATATCATAAAAAAGGACATACTTCCAATAGTGCATAAATTGACCGGTCAATCACACCTTAATACAGTGTCTTAATTCAGTATTATTGTAACATTTAATAATTCTTTATTTACAAACTACAATTCTTTCACCCCTTCATACAATACATGAAATATCAGTTCAACTTATTTTGTCAGAAGAACGGATAAAACATTTAACAGTCGTGGACCATCTTTTGCCGAAGACCACTGCAATCTTGATGAACCGATTGTCTCAAGTCCAAAATCACTTGCCGGAAAGCTGTGCAAAAGGTTATACAATGTGCTTGGTTTACGGTATTAAAATTAGCAATAAAAACTTATGTTGGATAAGCGAATATTAAAACTATTAAATAACTTACAAACATGTGTGAGGTTTTTGAATTCAGGTGTGTAGACCACCGTTACATAATCTCCATCCTGTCTCATTGAACGCACATACCCTGAAAAGCATTAAGTATGCAATATAATATGTTACATGCTAATAAAATTGTTCCGAAACATTAGTTTGTAAGTTTTAGCATGTTAAGTAGGTCACGCCTGTGCATGTTTAAAAATGCGTGCTTTTTAAATTTAAGGTTAATACTGGAGAATATGAAAATCGCAACCCTTAGATATACATAAAAGCAATAAAATCCTTATCAATAAAAATGGTTACACTTTGTAAGTTAGGTTCACAAGTTAAAACGTTGGGCTAAAGTCCAATCTGTGTTACATTGTTAGATGCGACATATTGAATAAATATATACTCTATATTATAGCTCTTTTCTCCTCGAGTCGTGCATTCTTTTTTTTCTTCTTTTTTTTAAGAAAAAAAAAAGAAACTATTAACAAACAGAAACGGTTCCTTTAGAATGTTACATCAAATTTATAACTTTTTACAATGCATAGCGGTCTTAGTAAATTTATCTAATTCGTTTACCAGCAGGTCTTATAAAGTTCTTATTCCGTAATTCGTACCTATCAGTTAGTACATTCGTTGTAAGTAAATGCATCAAATTCGTACCAGTCGTAAATTTTATATATATTGAAGAAACACACTAAAAGATTGTTCAGTATTTTGATATTGAATGACTAGTGTAATTTTGACCTGATTCTTCACTTAATCTATTTGAAAAAGCGTCTTCAGATTTCGAATGTCTTAAGAAGAGTGAAAGATGACTTCAAGGACTGGGACAAAAGTCATTTAAATTTTTTGAGTACATTATAGAGACCGAGATAAGATTAAAACCGTTATCATGACAACTAGGAGCTATTTTTATAACATTATATTGTAAACACGATATGATCCGTTTATATGATACATTCTAAACAAACATGTATATAATTAACGTATTGCAATCTGTCACCATGTAAATATCTTATTACAAACCAGTATTGATCAAGAAAACGGATGACTAAATAATATACATGTATGTATATATAGCTTATAGCTTGTATTTTACGTAAACTGTTGAATATTTTCAAAAGTTATTTAAGTTTTGTGTTTATAAATTTAAATTTGTACTTACACCTCAATGCGTCCTCGGATATTTGACTGCCATCCATTGCTATGACAATTTTTCTCTTAGCGTTCCCTGCGTCTGCCATGTTTAATATTCCACGTGAGCGAAAATTGTAAACTTTTTGTGAAGCACCGAGCGTTGTAATACAATACTGTATAGTAGTGTGAAGTATTGGACGTGATGTTTACATGAAACGTGTTTCCGTTTTGATATTACATGTAAAAGATCTTTAAGTTATACTACACGACACGTGTTTAACATAAATTTATGTAGATCTATTGAACATAGATCTAATTGAAGCTAAATATATTTATCGGTTTAAACTAAATTTCAAAAAAATTATCTTAAGTTATTTTCGGCATTCGTGATAATAACTTTACGCGTTATGAGGGCATTATTATTTTTGGCAACTGATACTCTTGCGTGTCTATTTTTAAATTGCAGCTGCTGTCCTTTAATTGAGACGAATAACAGAAGCGTTCCGAATAGAATAAACAATAAATACAAAAAGAAATCGATTTAAAATAATGTCAATGTCATTATTTACAAACTTTAAATTAAGTTTAACTAAGCATGATTATGCTTTTCGAGGGATATATTTAATTATTAATTATGAAAATTTAAATTTATTATATGTATTAATTATATATGTATTCACAAACTGTTTACATAATTCACAGTGTTAGTCTAGTACATATTTAAATCATTTCCGAATAATAAATATGAAGAATTGTACATTTAACCCTTATTTTTTTTTTAACAAACTAGGTAGCTAGATCTACTCATTTTCTTTACAGAGTATGCCTGTCAAGTTTCCCTCTTGAATCGTATTGGGGTTTTTTAAAACTTTTATTTGTTATTTCTTGAAACTGTCATCCTTCCATGCATCCAAATAAATATAGAAAGTTGTTCTCCTGAATACAGGCCTATGGAAGCCTTGGAGGGTCACTTTTGAGTTTTGACTTATAGATTTATTTTACTATTTTCTTATGACTTTTGATTTATGACTTTTGATTTATGACTTTTGATTTATGACTTTTGATTTATGACTTATGGATTTTGTTATTTCCCATGTGCTTTCCATTATAATTATAATTTCCAAGGACAATGTGGTAGAATATGACAACGATTCAGACGAGGTAAGTTCATTTACCTAAGTTTCCTGGAGACTTATTTAAAAGAAACAAAATATGTGGGCTCATATGCAAGAACAGAATGTTATTCTTATATAAGCCTTTTAAATTGATTAAGAAAAGAAAATTCTTTGCTTGCATTGCATTGCATTGGGTATCTATTTTTTATTTTGATTTCCGGAACAGGGATATATAATCTCAAATTGACATACAGCGTATGAATCAAATGCTTTATTTTTTTATATGGGTTCCAATTTTAAATCCGAACCAGTCTCGCATTGTTGTTTGCTGCAGTTACAATCGGTTTTCACCCGTAGTTCATTCTTCGTCCATCTAATATTGAATATAGTCCAAATTATAGACCTTATTTTGACAAAGCAATTTGTGTTTAAGAAATTTCATGAAACATGGTATTTCAAAAATAATAAATCATACAGCTTTGAAACTTCACACTTGTTTAGAACACGCTCTAAGTTAGAAATCTCTGAATTGCATTGTTATCGAATTATGCCTCTTTTTTGATTTTGAATTCATGGTTTAGAATTTTCATGAAAAATGGTTTCTCAAACACTATTGTAGCGATTCATTTGAAACTTAGAACACATATTAAGTGTTGACATCTTAGATCAATGACCAAGTTTCGTATGAGTGGCGCACAATTTGACATACTTATGCCCATTTTTAAAGCTAAAATGTTTTGTCAGATGTGGTCCCATAAACCAGTTATGATATAATATTTAAACTTTATTCACTTGTTCAGTATCAATAACTTAGGTCACATACCAAGTACAAAGTGCATGTTATTTGTATATAAACTTTTGTATACAGTTATGTATTAAGGGACTTTTTGTATTTCATTTTGTATATAATTATATGTATTTCATTTCAATTGAGATAACACATACTTTTAATGTTTTCAGTTTAAATTCTAGTAAAGCTTCCTGTAGGAATTAAGGACGTTCTGTCGAATGGTTTCAACTACAAAGCAGTTGCAAGAGCATCAGCAATACATATTTGTCAAGTTTTTGGAGCCAGTTTAGAAGACTAAGAGGTTTCATGGCAAAACAGCGTTCGTTCCGAGTGAGACGTAGAACAGTTTAGCAAATGCAAAATGTCCAAACACTAGTGATTTGGTTTTATTCTTTATTGTCTATGGAAATATTCAGACATTTTTGGAATACGAGCGTTTCTTTTTCACACTTGTTTCAGACGCTCGATAATTTTCAAGTTTTAACCCCACCACTTATTGAGGACGCTTTATTGGAAACACGCAATGTCATGTCCCGCCACGTTCATTTTATACTGTCCATACCTCCAATATGGTACAAAACTTGTATCAATATACACGTCATGGTGAGACAGAGAAAAGTGTGAAAAATCATGAATTCATAATTCTGGCTTTCATAATTTTCAGTATTTGCCCATTGTAAATTTTCAAACTTAAAAGAAAGGTATCGAAATCAAACTTTGCATGTTCGTATAGCTTTGCGAGGCAGAATGAAACATACTTCTTGCTATCATAGCTACATTTTAGAAAATCCCCTTTGTTGTTGATTTTTTTCTTCTTTTTTTCATACTTAGATTTTGTTAAACTCATAATTATCTCAAAAACTGGCATCAACTTGAATTTACTGGCAGATATATCTCGGCGAGACAGAGTGCATTGTGTTGTTAACAAAACTTTTGATTATAACATTTAATCGTTCTTCTAAGTTAAACATTCCCTTTTTCGACATGCTGTGGGTTGGGGGTATGCTCATTACGAACGACTATGATTTTTCCATTACATATAAAGTCGGTTATTCTTCGGGAAAAAAACGAACTTGTGGACGTTATTTAATATATACATTAAACAATGTATACAGTTTCTTAAAAGTAACTAGGAAATTTTTAGCTTGAGACTTTGTTTGTTTTTTTTTTTCTCTCTTTTGAACATTTAGAAATGAAGAAATAACGCGTTGACAATGATTTTAAAACTCTTGACTTCAATAATAGCGTTGCTAGTTTACCTAATTTATCTTATGTTTTCAAAAGCTTCGTTAGATCACTCATGATATTTTTCTTAGTTTTTCATCAGTAACGAATGAACGATGTGTTGTTTTGTAGAAATATTGCATGTATATATGTCTTCTGTGACGTAAATACTTGATGTTTTTGTTGATGGCAGTGTTTATTTTTAGCTGTTCCTTAGTGTAAGCTTTTAAGTAAGGCATGTGTGCTATTTTAGAAAAAAAATGCTTACCTCTGTATTTCTTATCTCTGTTTTTAAATTAAATATAATGAAGCTCAAATTCAGTTTGTTTTGCCTATCGAATACATTTGTTTTCTTATAAGACAACAATTTTGTTAAACAAAATAAAGCACGGTTGTAGAATAAAAAATGTTTGTTGTTATCTATTTAAACGCATTTATTCCAAACAATTATTGATAGCTCTGCCAACCTGTCACGGACAAGACCGTGAGGTAAAAATCTGTGGTAGTGTGGTCTCACGGTAGAGGTATATTTAGGTAGTCTGTTTCAGGGAGCTGGCTGTTTCCACACAGTTTACTTCTATAGTGATTGCTATTCTATTTCTACTTTGCTCATTTCAACCTCTTACTTATAATTTTAATGGAACACTATCTCTACATAGATAAATGAATTCTCTGTAACATTTAAATACTGTTTATACCGGTTGGAAATTGCAAGTTTATTTTGGTTATAACAAAGTTACAATAACACAATAATAAATTGTCAACAAATGAGGAAAATGTCTTTTATCATTCAGGACCAGATTTAATATGATAATGTAAATAAGTACAAGTTAGTTTGAAGTAGAAATCATCAAGAGTTTTCAAGTCATATTTGTGTCAAACCGTTTTCTAAATTTTATTTTATACCTATAAATTTTTCTTCCAACGGATAGAAAAATTCAGTATTATGTAAGTGAAAAATACGGAACCATATATGGAAATGCGGATTATTTTTGACATTGGTTCCGATCTTAGCTGTGTCTTACGTATCATTAGGAAACGGGAACCAAAAATTATAAGAGGCGTCGCCGGTTTTGCATAAATTACGTATTCATCCGTCAGTCATATATTTATTTTTTATTTTCGTGAAATTTCTTATAGAAGTGTAGTTTAATGAAAATCATTTTACTAAAAAGAAAAAGGTATATAATAAAAGTAAAATTATGTTGTAAGTAGCTTTCTGAGGCTATGCATTTACTACTTGCAACATTGGAAAATTGATCAATTTTCCACCGCTGCTTGTAGCAAAATACAAAGCCTTAAAAAAGCTACTACTACATAATATTCCGTACATATATCTCCTTTATTTTAATGTATTATAATGCCTAACGCTTGTGCCCTCTTTAATAGTCAACACGGAAAAATAGCGTACCAGTCAACCGTGACTAACTTCAACAAGGAATTAAATAATCTATTTCAAGATGTAAAATTTGTAATAAAGCTACACATCTAGAAAATAGCTAAGAACTGTTTAATCTGAATAAAAAATTCGTTATTTATCAAGAATAGTTTATTTAATTTAATACTTAATGTTGCAGACGGCACTTATAAATGAATGTCCCGAATTAAAACTTCTATACATATGATTTCACATTAACAATTGATGTTGAGACTTCACGTAAAAACGATCAACTGTGATAAAAACATATGAATGCAATAATTCTAATGCAAAAATGAGGCTGGTGGCTAAATGTACTTGTAAACATCATAAGTAAAAAGTGATAAATTATAAGTGAAAAGTCATAAGGCAAAACCTAAAAAATAAACACGAGAAAATAAGTCAGCATTTATTACAAAGATCAATTACTATTTTTGAAATAACAATCATATATATCCTTTTAAATACCATAAATACATCCTATAAAGTATGGTTGCTATTTTGTGCGAATGAATAAGACATTTGAATCTAATTACACATACTTGAAATTACACGTATAACTTATATGTCACGGTACGAATCTATTCAGTAGATGATGTGCAATCTCGGTCGGGACATAGCTAGCCCTGTAAGGGGGTTCCGGGTTCGAATCCCGGTATGGCTGCATATCTTTCTCCCCCTGTGACATTTGGCATAGTGGAAAGTGTCCCTGCCAGTCACGCGGGAGACCGAGGTTCTATTCCTAGTCGGGCAGCCGTTTTGTTACCAGGGCTTGATAGAAGAGTTTGCAACCATTATTTGCATATAAACAAACAACATTTGCAAAACATGTTGAAATGAGATTACACGATATTTTTTAGACTTTCAATACATGTATTTCTTTTAAAAAAACCTTTTTAATGTATATGTTCTGACTCATAATAATGCCTACAACTCCAAACCCGTACGGTAAATTTTGCTTAAATTTTGCATACAGATGTCCTTTTAGGTATACCACTAAACAATGTTGTCAATTTTATAAGCCTTATAGTGCAAATTAGAGTGGTTATAACTTAAATGATAATTTACAAATATATTGTAATTTGCTCAATATTTACAAACCAATATCTTAAAACAACCATATAATGAAGTGAAATCGTAGACTATCGTCTTTATGATTTTAAAACATAATTTTTTGAAACTTAACCTATAGTAACCTAGTATATTATCAATTACACGAAAAAAATCAGTATAAGTCGTTTCAAAGCGTAGTTATATTAAATCTATTCTCAAAATTAAATTTTTTTCAACTCGGTACACAGTTGTAGTGCTGAATCAGCGTCCAATGGCATCTGTAGATCTGGCTTCAGAAGGGGTGCTAATTCTATGAATTCCTCACATTGTCTTCTTGGGCGTGAAAACATGTTCTTTGCAAATATATACGTCTCTCAAGTTAACTGCATTGCCGAAGTCGTGAGTTTCATACAGACCTGGTACAAAAAACAGTGTGTCAGGTTTACCACAAATTACAGAAGAACTTTTTGTTGCCTTATTTCATGTGCAATCCGGTCTAACTCGGTTTGTATGAGGTCCATGAAGCAAAATTTTAAGTTCTCACATTGTATCGGATCCAGATCATTAAATACACAAGTATCGCGTAAGTGTTTGAAAAAAAAATCTACCAATGGATTCCATTTTTTCTCGTTATGTACACCACCACTTCTCAATGCGTTGGTTAGATGTGCTTTTTCCAGCTAGAATCGTGTCTGAAGTATTGCTGCAATAGTAAAGCAATGCAGCTTTCCGTACCAACATCACAACCTAGTAAATGGGTGAGGGGGGACTTGATAATGTTCATTAAAGGTGTCTTAAAGTATCTTGCAATAAGGTGTGGGTCGTTATTTGAGTCCAAAACCTCTAACCATGTTATTTTTCTACTTTACCCATTCACAACACCATGGATATAAAATCCTTGTAATTTAAGTTTGTCTTAACCGTCCATATGTCATATAAAACTGGTTCTTTAGCGTTTGTATTCTTCGGCATTTAAACGAAAGAAAATTTCCCCATTTTCAAAAACCACCGGAAACAAACGTCTCATTATTTCCCCTGACGTCGTCTCCCTTGACCCTTAAAGTGGTAACCACATTTAAACCCACGCCAATTGTAAAGTATTCCCATGCGTTGTCCATTTGTTTGTTAATTTTCTCTGTTTTTTAAAAATCAGACAAACAAATCTTTAATGGTAGTAAATATTCCATTAAAAGAAAAGTTTAGAATTTTGAGCGTTTAAAAAAAATCTAAAATTCATTAACTAAATGACGTCGTAATGCCATGCTGTACCAAGAAAGTACCTATAATTATCAGCACCAGAGTTTTGTTTGTTATAGATGTTGAGGGTAGGTTATCTTTTGGGGGGGGCAAAACCGGGGTAGCCTTTTGGTAATGCTGAAACAGTATAAATGATGAAACACAGATCAACATCAAGGTTTTCATCCTTGTTACCTTTTTGTCCAGTAGGTGTGTCTGAAATAAGAGTTTATCTTTTATCTAAATCTTTATACATTTATATTATATAAAATGGGTAAATCTCTTTGCTCCGTTTTTTAAAGATTGATAGGTGCGAAAAAATATTTTAAATGCTAGTAGGATATTTTGTTCTAACTGGTTCTATATCTACGTTTATTCTTCAGTGTTCTTTTCTCAATTGTTAAAATATACAACAAAATTAGACGCAAATGGTGCTCAATTACAATTTTAAGTTAACTTTGTACTTGTGTGTATGAACATAGCACTTGCCGTTCTTTACTGATTCCGTGTTAGCTCAATTCTATTCTATTCTATTCTAATAAAATGCTGAATTGCGATACATGTTTAATACTGTGCACCATGTCATTTTAAGACGTATTCCCTGTCTACTTGTAAAACAGTTATTTTGTTTGTTACTCATGGACAGATTTTGTGATGAGGACAAAAGATGTATAAGCACTAATATAATGAACATATTTAGAACATAGAAGATTGTACACACACAGTCACACTTGTGGAATTAAAGTCTGTGATATGTTACCACTATGGGATTATATCAAATAATATTTAATTCCCTCCTTAACACATCCTCTCCTCCATGACAAATCTGAATGAAATTATTTAAAACGTTTAAAAACATACCTGAAACCAAAGTTGCTGCTTTCAGCTTCTAAAGCACGTGTAAAATGGGTTAGCCAAAAGTCATAAGACGTAAGTCACAAATCAAAAGTCAAAAGTCGAAAGTCAAAAGTAAAATATCCGTAAGTCGAAACTCAAAAGTGACCCTCCAAGGCTTCCATACAGGCCAGTTATATATCTATATGTGTGTATAAATATATACAGCTAATGGTCGCAAATCGTCCCCATTTCAATATTAACAGTTCCAATGTCCTCAATTATGAATTACTCTGAATCATCATCATTATCATCATTCATCATCATCATCATATCATCACCACCAACACCATCGTCATCATCATCACCACCACCACCATTATCATCATCATTATCACCATTATTATCACGTTCTTCATTATTCTGTGTATTGAGAGTTTATCCCATTTCGCGAATTTAAAAAAGCGCACAAATGTGATGAAAACTGAGGTTTTAAAAAATTATGCATACACGTATATACACTATATCTTAAAGATTCAAAGCCTGTAGATACGTTAGAACTAAGTTTTGTATTTTTAAAATATTTAATCATCAATAACACTATCATAATTTTTACAATATCAACTAAAATAATGAGTAAAATTCATAACACACCACTTTGCTAAAATTCTGTTATTCTACATGAATAATTCAAATATATAGGGCTACCAGTCATTTTGCCCCATCGAATCATTTGTTTCACACTTTACCAAATATAACGCTTCACCGTTTAGGTCATGTCACCTTGTGTTTCCGGTTTACACACGAACACTGGAACTGTTGCATGATGCACAATAAAGTCACTGACACTACCTAAAAATGTTCTCCGTAAAGTCCCTAGTCCACGACTTCCGGTAATGATAAAAGCAGCTCCTTCCTCTTCCGCTACCTTGACAATCTGATCCCCGGGCATTCCAATCATTGATTTTACAGTACCTTCTACCTGAAATGTTAATCAAAAAGGAAGTTATAACAACGTGACGGAAAGTGAGTGGAATCATAGGTGTATCATTGCTACCATAAAAATATGAATCAAAATTTGGATTGAGATTGATAACGTGACTTCAGGTTTGCTTGCATGTCAGAGATCACTAAAATACGGAAAATGGGTAAGACGAAAGGGTTTAGAATAGTAAACAAGTAAAAGAGTGATAAAGCTAGGCACTTCCAATGAAACTCTTTTATTGAAATGGTGTAAATAAAATGCTTTATTTCATTAGTAACGGCTTAGACAAAATCGCAATAATATATTAGCTATATTCTAAATAAAAAAGGCAAAAAATGTGATAAAAAAGTTACAGGATTTACAATTTGAAGCATCAACACCTCCCTCACCCCCACCCCCTCCCTGCAATAAAGAGTTACAGGGAGTTTGGCAATTAATGTTTAAATGATTAAAAAGCGGGGAAACATGCAAATATGTTTGTCCATGACTATGTTCGTTTAGGGAAATTGGCATTATGAGTGTCATATTACGTGTCCAAATGATCAAGAATAAAGATAAATTTGGCAATTTATTTCTTTTAAGACAAATTGGAAACCGGACATACACCTTGTGGATTTATAGAACATTTTCTTTTAGAAACTTCTATGCCTGAAAGTGACGTCACATACCACATGATAAGGGCATAAGGGAAGTATTTTAATGTGGAATGATTCTGTGTGTTTTTTTCTCTGTGAAATAAATGTATTGCAAATTATGGTTGTGTTTCTTTTAAGAATATAAAGAAACTAAAATACTGACATCAGCTTGTTTCATCAGCTCCTGTATTTCAGCAATGAGTTTACGTGTGTGTTTTTGCTCTTCCTCTATCAAATTTGTCATCAGTGCTGGATCTGCCGTCATTATAGCTATAAATATCAAAACATCAAAATGATTTAATTGTAATAAAATTTGGCAATGTAAAGTTAGTCTTTTTTTCTTATCATGGGGCAAAAACAAAGTATGTTGTCCAGATATACACGTAATACATTATCTTGCTGCACACTTAGTGCATGTGTTATAAACGTGAAGCACACATGTTATCAAGATACACATATAATACATGTGTTAAAAACGCATAACACATGTTATTCAGATAAATACATATATAGTGCATGTACATGTGTGAAGATCGAAAACACGACAACACAACAATTTTTGTTGTTACCAGCGTGAAAACCTGAACAACAGATTTAAAGGTGGTGACCGGTATACGACATCGTAATTCATGTGTCGTGTGTCGTGTTTTGGCGGCGCGAAATGTCGAAAACATGAATAAACTAGGATTTTGTCGTGTTTTCTGCATGACCTTTCACCTATTCCCATCTCCAAGCAATAATATACACTCGAACGTTAGATCTACTATACGAAAAAAAGTATGCACGACAAACAAATCAGAAGTTTGCAATTGTTACGTGGTCCCATGGCCACTATCTATAGATATCCATGTACCACATTCTTTTACATTTTTGTTAGATGTCAAATGCATTGTTTTAAATGATAGTATGACACTTGTTTAAAACAAAAAAAAAATAAAATGTCAAAATCAACATGGAATGCTTTCTCTATACACTTTAATCATTTCAATTTATGATATAAATTATACTATAATAAAATGTTTGTTGTTCATGCTAGGAGAGTTCATATAAAATTTTATTAAATTTCCTTGCGAATTAGCTAAAAAATCAGAATTTTTGTTTTTAATCTGTAAAATATAAAATGCAATTGTTGGCAGTGCCTGTCCTCTTGAAATATTGTGCAAACATCTTTTTGGCCCTTTCTGTCAAACTTCAGATCAGAATTATTATTATTGATAATAGCCAAGATGTTCCGATTGTTACCAATAAAGTTCTAAGTTGCCATATAATTATTTTATTTCCAGTGCAATTTCATACCAAACAAAAAGCAAAGAAAACTGGTGAAAAAGATATAAAAAAAAGCCAACGACATAATTATAAGCTATGAAAATAAAAGTAAGCAAGAGATGCCTAATTAAACCTTAATTAAGATAATCATTTCTGACCATATAGTCTGCAGACATTCATGTACAAACATACTGACAAACATATTGATAAACTGACTTATTGATTGGCAAATTTCAGACGATCATTAACAAAACCAAAACAATTTTAAAAAAAACAATATATGTTCCGCTTATTTTATTAGCTTCGTTAGTTTAACAAATTTGATCCAGCTTTCATAAGAACTGAAGAAATAATGCCGAGATAATGCATGGTAAACTAACAATCTAACAAGGCTTTCATAATTTTTTTACAGTAACAGTATGGTTCCCCGAAATTTCAAAACAAAAGCAAAAATAATTTGAAAAAGAAGTCTAGTAGCTACAATATACAGCAACGTGCGTCTTCTACAACCCGAAATAGCTAATGCAAATATCAACGGATTTAAACGTTAAGATTTTATTTTCACTGATTTTGAAAAAAAAAATTCATTTAATGTGATCATTTAAGACTGGGACATACGTATATCCCAGTTTAAGACAATAAAATTTTTCTAAAACATAAGTACATAATGTTTTTAGGTATCGGGTTGTAAAACACGTATAGAAGTATGCCCGCCGTGATTTATATAAAGTTAAACACACTTACACATATGTGACGCCATGCAAGCTGGTAAACACGCATATGTGTAAAATATTTGTAATAATATGTAATTGTAAATGAAATTTGTATATTTTTGTCATCTTTCTAGCCATATAATTCCGCATTCAAATCTTTACAAAGATAATAATATAAAATCAATCATAATTGTTTAATTAAGGAGCTGTACTTTTGAAAAAGATTAACTTGCTATGCTTAAAATAATCTATTTTTTTCTTTTATTTGCCGTGTATTTGTAGATTAATTCTAACAGAAGACTTCTTTCCAAATGAATTTCTAGTTACTTCTGAAATAAAGTAGACTAAATACTTACATATATGTGTAAGGTTTTTAAACTCTGGGGTATACAAGGCAATGACAAAATCTCCTTTCTCGTGTATTGTTTCCACATACCCTGTTAACAAAAGTGTTTTTGATAATAAAATGGATGCATGTATTTTTAGACATTTTTTTATTGTATTATGACTGGTAAACGCTTTAACCATTCACCATAAGTTAGGGTGAAATTCGGTTAAATAATCAGTTAATCAACTGATTTGGCACAGCAAAGTAATTTGTATAACTGTATTATTTCTCGTTTTTATTTTGTTCGTGTGGTGTTGGGATAAAAAGGGCTTTTAGGTTGTTTTTTACAAATCATTGCATGTATAAACAAACGTTCTTCCGAGAGTCAATCCAAATTAAGGGTACAACATTTATTGGGTTTTAGGCCAATTGAGAGTTTTACCTCTGATTGTTCTTGACGCATTGATGTTTTTGTTAACGCAATATTTTACGTAGTTCATCCGGATTGATGCGAATTTTAAATGAAAGACTGACGAAGAAGACTTATTTAAGCATTCTCGTTGGTCGTTGGACGAAAAAGTAGGACAGCAAAGACGAAGACGCTTTATAATGAGGTGCAAGGCTGTTGAGGGCGACTTTCAGATAAAAATCGTAACTTCAAAACACAAGAACATTTTCACTATCAAATTGGATAGACTCCAAATGACCAACTTATGTCGTGGTGACTTTCAAACAAACTAAATAAACATACAAATAAAAACTAGGTTTGTTTAGTTTTCTGGGCGTTACATATAAGGCAAAATTATTTATCTGTAACTCAAATGCAGAGCAAGGTCAGCCGTGCAGTTTGGCAACTGGTTGCAGTTGGTTGCTAAATCATTAAAACCCCATGAAAAAATGGATTGCTTCTACTTAACAATGGTAGAGTCCATTACACACAAGGGTAAAGGTTAAACTGTGTATACCACTTAAAGCTCAAGTGCACGTTAGGCTTGTAAAACAAATCATAAACATGGATCGAAAAACACATTTAAAAATCTCTCGTAAAGCAATAAAAACTAGATGGCACATGGATGTTAAATCCGCTAAAGGAGCAAATACACATTAGATTATCATGATTTTTGGCTTAAAATATAATTTATTGTGCTTTTTTGTGTGCTTCATGAAACTTCCGAGGTTCGAATCCCAACACATTTTTATAATGCTTCGCATTTATATGCATCGTAAAGTATTAAGAAAACTCACTTATGTATTGATATTTGAACGTAGATCCTTATTTACAGTAAACAAAACAATATTCTTACACTTGAATGCATGCTCCGCCGTTTTACTTCCATCTATTGCAATAACAATTTTCCTTTTTCTAGCTTCATTTGCTGAAGTGTCCATTATTTTTCTTGTAGCGTTTTAATCTGATTTTCTAATTCTCACGTGCGCTTTTCTTCACAATTTTCTGTCAAAGTAACAGATGGTTTTCATTGACAAGCAAGTTTTTTTTATAGTTCAAAGCCAGGTTTGAATCATTTATACGAGTATCGATCTCACAACATCATTAGCTTTTATAAAAGTTAACACTATTTCTTTATAGACCTAGCTATAAACACTTATCTTGCAAGTTTAAAAGTTTCCTCATTTCTTACGAGCACTTTACTATATCGTAAGGACGGGAATTTAGCTATTTATATAAGCTATCAATCTATAATACTAGTATGCAAAGGTTGTAAATAAAGATAAGTGTTCGTAGTGTAAACACGGCTTGCTTTTCTTGTTTTCCTGTTACAAAGTGGTATAGATGAAGGCCATGACACGCCACCATAACTTTGTTCAACAGGATTTAAGACATTAATTTATATTAGCAAGCTTTTTAAAGTATATTTTTAGTCTTTTACGCCCAAGCTTGTATGTTTTTTTAAATATCTTTATGAAAATAATTCGCGTCTGGAACGTTAACACATTACATAACTCAGACACAAAAGTTCCTTATCTTAAACCGGGCGATTAACTCCCTTGGACAAGTTTAACATTGCTATGTGTCTACTACAATCACATTTTTGCCAGACAAAGGAGACGGACTTCAATTTATATTTAAATAGCATGTATACTGTTTATATGAAAATTCTATTGTTTATTAATTTATATTGTTGATAATGTAATTTGAACAATGTAAAACTTGTAGAATTCCGTACTTCTAAAGGAATATTAATATTGTTCCAGAACAATAAAACGTCGCATTTCAGCAATTCGTTTAGGATCGTTTATTTGTAATGTCTTTTTTTCTGTATTGATCTAATTTAAGTAGATCTATGTAATATTATTCATATTCAAGCGTTCATCTTTATAACAAGTATACATCTATATATTTGTACGAGAACTAATATCCTTCTTTTCTGTAAAATTGAGCATCAACACAGCTGACATTTCCGTTTCAGAAAATTATTTCCAACCCATTAGATGAAAGTTCATATATTCTTTAAATTCTTATAGAAAAAACTTGGATTTTATTCTTATTTTATACTTCAAGACTTGATACGTAATATTATGTTGTATAAGATATTTTTACACCGATATGTTTAAAGCGTATATTGTTCTGTATTGTACCGTATTTGACTATTGGTCAGCAAGTTCAAGTAAAACCTTTATTGTAGTTAATATATTACATATATTTCACTGCAATTTGAGAACGCGAAATAAAAATAAATATGCCAACCGTTCTACCAATAATTCACAAAATGGTGCACAAAGTTTAGGCTATCTAGCTCGGAGGTCGTAGCTCTGAGATTTGAGATCGCAAGTCGAAGTTTAAGTTTAAGCTCGCCAGCTTCGAGATTATAACATTTTTTCATTGGTCAACGTACTTCTCTGCTCATTAGGAGCAAGTGACCTAGATACATGCTTTCAATCCACCTGCATTTTATCTTAACTAGTTCTACAGTCTCTAGAACTTAGCTGGAACTATCAGTCATGAAAGTGGTCTTAGATACACGGTAGCTTCCTAATTGGCTTGAAGTACTTAACTAACAATTATGTAAACATGTCCATGAAAAATGTTCATATGGGGATGCAACTCTTTTATTACATTAACTTCATTTGTGTCGGCTGGAATGTCGTCATATGACCAAGGTGACCAAGTGCAAAAACATTTACAAAACCCAGTTACCAACAACAGTTACTATATATTTCATAATTTATAAAACAAATTAATGTATACATATACACAAAGCAATAAATGTCAATAACCGGTTGTCTTTTTAAATACTTTCTATTACCCATTCATCATCACATGTACACAAATAAAGCTTTTACTAATTAAAAAACAGCAGCCTATGTAAAAACGTTATCAAAAATGAAAATAAATATTAAAATCATGATCACAAAACGTAGTCATCTAGTCTACACACGACCACCGGAACTGTGGCATGATGCACAACATAGTCACTAACACTTCCGAGAAATGTTCGTCTTAATGTCCCAAGTCCACGACTTCCGGTTACAATAAAGTCCGCACCCTCTTTTCTTGCTGCTAGAACAAGCTGCTCACCGGGCTCTCCTGTTAACTGTTTAACTGTTCCTTTGACCTAAAATGAGTTAAAAGAGATACAACTGTTGAATGTATTACCTATCTTTAACAGAAACAGGCGAGAGATACAAATGTACTTATAAAACAAATCAATTGAAGCAGAAATAAAGAAAGAATCAGAAAGATAAAAAAGAGGAGGAGGATAAGATGCTGTTGATGTTGTTGTTGTTGTTGTTGAAGTAAAGAAGACGAAAATTGCTGGAAAATATGAAGAAAGAGTAGAAGAACAGAAGGAAGGACTGAAGAAAAAAGTTCTTGAATAAGTGGAGGAGATGAAGAAGAAGAAAAACATGCAGAAGACGCACAAGAGCAGAAGAAGAAGAAACATGAAAAGAAGGAGTTGAAGATGATGGGATAATGATGGTGATGATGATGGTGATGATGATGTTGATGATGATGGTGGTGGGGGTGATGGTGGGGATGATGATGATGATGATGATGATGATGATGATGATGATGATGATTATTATGATTATGACGACGAAGAAGAAATAATAAAATCTAAATCTGAATTTGTTTTTATCTAGTTTTAGGACCACTTTCTCCAAATAAATATTCGCCCAATGGCTTTAGTCGCCGTTCTCGAATGTTGTATGTTAGAATAACACCTTTTTAAAGGAAGCTATCTAGCTAGCGTATGGAAGATGTGTTAAATCAAATGTTTTTGATAACATTTAAGAATGCTACAAAGAGGAACAATCCTAACGTCTTTGTTCACCGGTAAA